TCAAGTCTATTAAAAATTTAATTTTAGCTAAACTAGTAATAGTTTAACGGTTGGAGCTCCATTTCAAGTTTTTGGGAAGTACCAATTCATATTTCTAAATATATACACACACACACAATAAAACAAAATTTCGTAGGAAATTCCTAGTGCATACTACGTGCATTGGCCTTTTTTCTCTTATAATTATTTGCTTTTAATTGAAAATTGAAATGATACCAAGGTTTTGATTTTGAGTTTGTTGACTCAAAGTTGAGTAGACCACTTTAAGACTTTGCCTTGTTTGATAATCACTTTTAGGAAAAAAAATTTCTCAAATTTATTTTCAATCACACATTTATTCCAAAATATATTTTTATTTTTTNATGCTCAAATTTATTTTCAACCACACATTACTTCCAAAATATATTTTTATTTTTTAACTAGATATTCTCCAAAAAATCACTATTCTAAAACTCATTTTTCTCAATGTACTATTTATAATGGTTGTCAAACAAGGGATTTGGTTCAGTTTGTCTTTAGAATTGTCCAGATCTTCACACCAACTCTTCTCGAGTCTTTTGTTTACAAAATTAAATAGCCATGTTGATCTCATTTTTAATTTATTTTTTCAAATTTATTTTTAGTCAAGACATTTTATGAAATCTACGATTTTTATCAACGGGCCAATCATGTCATTAATTTTATCAGCTATTAAAAATTTGATTTTTAGCTAAATTAGTCATTGTTGAATGTACGTTGCATGTTATTCTAAAATCTATTATATATTAAATATCACATCAAATAAGAATCATTTTTGGGTAATTATAGCTCTACTACAATTCAGTTATTTTAATAATACCTTATTTTTCATTTTTCAATATATATTTAATTTACAAACTGTAATAAATATTACAAAATTCTTGATCATGCATGTATTAGTTGTTATTAATTCTTAATGAATTAACATTCATATTCACTTAATTAATATTAATTAGAGTTTACGCCTATATTCCTGTTATTAATTCTCAATTAATTAATATTCACATTCATTTAATTAATATTAATTAGAATTTCATGTTTTATATGTTAATTAGCATCTAATTTCACTTAATTGAAAATTAAATTATATTCATTTTGCCCTTGTTTAGATACACATTATTTTCAAAATACATTTTTCTATATCTTCTTTTTAACCACACATTATTCAGCAATCCACTATTCTAAAATACATTTTTTGTTAAAAATTGAGTTCAAATAGGCTCTTAATATAAATAATTTAACATTTATTGTCACGTATACATTCTTTGATATTATTTCTAAATAAATTAATATTCACGTTAATTCATGTATCGTATTTGTCATTCATCTTCATTTATGTATTTAGTAGTAATTCTAATACTCACATTCAAGTATGTATTTCATTATTTACGTACATGTATAATAATTAACATTTACTTTCAGTAGCTTACATTTCTCTCTTATTTAGATCAAAATGGTAAATAGAGGGTTAGATATTACTTGTACATCACTTATAAAATTTTTCAGAATAACGTGCAACACACTTTAAACTATACTAGTGTTTTATAAATGCTACAAAAATAATATATAAAGATTTGTAAATATAAAAAAAAAATTAGTGCAAATTATTTATGTGGAATGAACTTTTTATTCAATGAAAATCTATTTCTATACAATTTTCTTTTTTTTTTTTATGTGATTAGGGGTGTGTGACTTGGCTAAAACCTTTGTAGTTGCCATATAAGTTTTTCTTGGAAGTGCAATGTATAATTTTTTATGCGAGAATACATGTTGCGGAAGATGTATTCTGACACGAGATATTGTATTTCCTTAGGCCTTGTTGATTGTTTTGTAAAACAGAAACGAATAGGAAATTGTTTCCACGAGAATTCGAATGGGTATCTTTCATCATTTGCAAGACATAATGGTATGTATTGAATGAATACGTGTTTACCATAGTGCTGTCCAATAGTTATTTCTATATGGATAATAATATCTATATTGAATTGACGACAAACCATTCCGCTTTCATCGTAGAGACTATTTGAAGAATCTAGATTCCTCAAGAACATTATCGATGAAGTTGAACTCCATTAGGCAGAAATGTGTTGAGAAACTCCGCTTAATAGTAATTGTTTGTGTCATCTATTGTTTCATCATAATTGAGGAACTCTTTAATTTCACCTGGAAAAAGTCAATCATATTTGTTGACCTTAAAAATGCGCCAACAAAATCTAGGCTACGTCCCCTCCACATGGGCATCACCTACACACTGAACATCCCGTTAGAAGGCAATGAGATAATCTATTATAAAGACACCACAGCCATATAGGTTGTATCTCTCGTTTCAACTCAAGTCTTTCTTAAGGGTCACTTAAGGGAAAGTTATGTGTTCGAATCCAAGGATCGCTACAAAAGCCATGAGGGGTGAGATTCATCTTCTGTTATTTTAATGCATTCGTTCATGTTTGCATCGTTCATAAAGATAAATGAATGATATTTGCAAAGATAAATTTAATTCTACTCGAGACTTATTTTTGAATAACATAGGAACATAGATCAACAAGAATGCATACATATTGTCTTGATATTAAATTGTATTGAAATGAATTGGTAATGGGATTCAAAGTATCAGAAATCATGTCACATGGTTTTACAAAAGCTTTCATAATTTGCTCAATAAAGTAATTAGTTTAATTAGATAGATCATTATAAACTCTTAATATAAAATTGGCTATTCGATTAGAGTTAGAATAGATTGATCCTAGATTAAGTAAATCTTCATTGGAATGATATTTTATAACTTGTTCATGATACCGTACACTTGTAGAATTTCGTATGATCAAATCTAAAAGTAAAGATGATGAATTTCAAAACATTGGTCCGTGTCAAAATGGGGTTCTCAAGCAGAGGTAATACTCTCTTATAGAGGTAAAGTCCCATTTTACAGGGATGAGGCTCTCAAGC